AGCTGAGTGCAATCACCTCCTGTAATTGTGTAATTGTTCCTGACACCTATTAGCTCTTCGATGGCATGCATCCAGGAATAACTCCCTACTGGCTTCCGGCTCACTCTCCCTTGTCTGCTCCCCACTGGTCCAAGGCTTAGGTGCCTCCTGGTGGCCAACCAGCCTCTCTGCGCCCTGCTCAGAGTTGGAATCCTGTCCAGGTCCTCCACATCCTCCAGAGCTGACTCATAGGGCCCCTCGCTGTCGGAGTGTGGTGGCAGATCCAATGGCTCCTGCTGGGCCACAACACATATACATATACACATACACATACACATGCATGTACATATATATGAAATACTTTTTATTCAACAATTTTTAAACATTAAAATCACACTTAGAAAATTGACTTTTGCATTCCCAGCTATTCTATTGTGTATTGGAGTCTGGGAAGAGACTTCAAGGTTGGCCACACAAGTGCTAGAAATACTCTGTAAAAGAAACCCAATACCACATGACATCCAGCCAAGGTATCAATCATCCCATTCATTCCCCCTGTGAAGAAAGACTCCTGGGCCATTGTTTTGCCAAGAGTATACTTTACTGTAGCTTAAATGGTAAAAGAAGAAGAACAAAGCTGGTTCTGGCATTTTCACAAACAGCATGTTTTTTTTACATTTTTAGTGTTCTGCACATGCACAGATCTATTTAAAGGCAACTGTGCACATGTGCGCAAATCACACACACACCGAACCAGCAGTAATGCTGGCAGAAACCCATCCCTGCTGCCTGTTATTCAGTTTTGGGCTCCTCCACCTCTTCTATGACAACACGTTTTTAACAGATTGTGGTAACACCGGTCATATAATTTGATTTCAGCAGATGATTAATGAAATAATTCCCAATGTGATGTTAGGAACCTAGTCAAATGAGAGTTGGATGGTATAATAATTAAATGGATAAAACTATCCATATTTAAAATTATATTCTTCTCAAAAAAACAAAGATTCCAGAAAACAGTTATGATTTCCGGAAAAAAAAGAGAAAGTGCGTAAGTAAAATCTAGTACTAAAATATCTTATTTTAGCAACTAGGATTGAACAAACTATAGCATCTCATATAAGAACAAAGCTCTAGATAGGAGCTACAATGTAGAGCTTCCATTAAGTTTTCATTTGGTTGCAGCCACATTCTGAGAAGTGTCAACCAGTGGTGGGTTTCAAATTTTTTTATAACCTCTTCTGTAGGTGCGGACTGCTTTGTGGGAGTGGCTTGCTGGCCATGTGACCAGGTGGGAGTGGCTTGCCAGCCATGTGACTGGGTGGGAATGGCTTGCCAGCCATGTTTCTAGGTGGGTGTGGCTAACTTGTAAAATATGGTGAAACTCACTGAATAACACTCTTGCTTAGAAATCAAAATGTTGGTTCAGAAACTCTGGCTTTTGAAGCATGCAAGTCTTAAAGTTGTCAAGTTACAAGACCCTTGCATCCCTAACCCTTTAGGAAAAAACCCCAGGGGTGTTCAAACTTGACAG